AGGAAAGCCAAAGAGGAGATATATGGATGCAGTTAGAGGACATGGAGTTACCGGTAGTTGGAGCGAGGACAGAGGATGCAGAGAACAAAGTGAGATGAAGGACAACGCATTGTGGTGACCCCTGAAGAGGGAACAGCTGAAAGAAGAAGAAGAAACACTGCACTTGTGCATCATGCGTAAGTGAGCTTGTAGCCACATTAGCCTTTTTGTAACCAGCAGCTTTATGCAGGGCTATAACTCTGGTTTGGCTTGACTGAATTGAACTAAAGACCATCCATCCATCCATCCATTTTCTTTACCCGTTTATTCCATTTTGGGTCACGGGGGTCGCCGGTGCCCATGTCCAGCAATCACTGTGCGAGGGGCGGGGTACACCCTGGACGGGTCGCAAGTCCATCACAGGGCCACATGGAGACAAACGAGACAAACAACCATTCACTCTCTCACTCACACCTAGGGACAATTTAGAGTTACCAATCAGCCTAACATGCATGTTTTTGGTCTGTGGGAGGAAACCGGAGCACCCGGAGAAAACCCACGCATGCACAGAGAGAACATGCAAACTCCACCCAGAAAGGCCCCTGGACCGGGGTTTGAACCAGGGACCTGCTCGCTGAGAGGCAGCAGCTCTACCAGTTGCGCCACCGTGCTGCCCTGAACTAAAGACCCCACCTTGAAATTCTTAGTTTTAATAGAAACAAGCTAACATCAACACATTTACATTAGTCCCACTATTCAGTCATTGTAAGGAGATGTGTGACACAGATTGAGTGGCCATTGCCTTTGTCCATTGAAATTCTTGTATTCCAGTCAGGAGTGATTATTTTGTACAGGAAAATGCTCAAAAAGCCCAGTGGGAGATGTAGTTGCTTTATTAATATGGTTTTATGCCATTGGAAGTAAGATCCAGATGCAAAACAACAAATGTAAGAGATGTTTGTATTAAGTTTTTCAAACATTAGCAATAATTCTGGTCTTCTTTTGCTGGTGGTTGAGTGATTCCTGGTTGGATCCTGATAAAACTTGAGATCTCTGTTTTCGACAGACAAGGTGTTTGTGTGTACATATATTGTGGTAAACAGCTGTGTCCTATTTTGGATTTGCATCATTTTATGCAGTTTGTTTACCTTGTGATTCAATTGTTTGTGGTTTTAACTGTTCTTGCAGATTGTAGGAATGTTTTATGAGATTTATGCAAGATTGTGATGTTTCTGTGGATACTATACATCTATGTTTAAATCGAGTACCTTGAGTTAGCAGAAGGAGAAAACAGGTAGTGCAATTCTACTCTCAGTACCGAGGGCTTGGGGCTCAAGAGGTTAAAAATCCGCAACAGATTCAAACTTGCAAAACTTTAAAACAATATAGAATCAACAAGCAAACAGATAAGCCTCAACAAATCTCAACAGCCCACCAACTCTCTCCTCTATTAGAAAACTGAGTAAAGTGAAGGCAGCTTAAGCAAGCTGTGTTTTTGTAATTTTGATAAAAGTAGCTTTTACACATACCTTCCCACTACCATATAATCAGTTACTGTCTGTGCTTTTTCTCAGGTCAGGTCCATCCATCCATCCAACCATTTTTCTTACCTGCTTTTCCTTTCCGGCTCATGGGGAGCTGGTGCCTATCTCCAGCAGTCACTGTGTGAGAGGCGGAATACACCCTGGACAAGTCGCAAGTCCATCACAGGTACACATGGAGACAAAAAAGTCCAAAAAACACACTCCCACTCCCACCTTGGGAACATTTAAAGTTCCCAATTTACTCATCCTGCGTGCTTTTGGTTTGGGGGAGCAAGCCGGAGTATCAAGAGAAAACCTGCACACTCCACCCAAAGTGACTTGGGGGCGAGCATGCAACCTTCTTTCTGTAAGACGACACTCTTAAATCTTTTGAAGTGGGGTTCTGTAAAAAGGTTCTCATCTGATAACATGTAACTGACAGCTTTTGGATCCACCCCAGTTGGGTAAAAAAAAACTTGATTCTGAGTGGATTAACAAGCTAACAACTAGTCCCAGCAGAGCCAAGACCAGAGTGAATTGTTGCCATTTTCAAACAACTCCAATCTTAAACATTTCATGGTGGTTCATGTAAATGCCATTTTATAAATCTTACATTGCTGCAAATTTAGCATGACATAGTTATTTACATAGGATTCTATGTTTATTCAAAAGTGAAAATAGTAGATGATATTAGTTGTAGTATTTGGGCACTTGTGGCAAAAATGTTTTGATATTTCTGCTTGAACAGTTATGTAAAGGAAAACTGACTGCAATGTTTAGAAAATAGTATTTGCATGAACAGCAATGAAAACATGTGAGACTTATGTTTTAAAGCAGCCACAATCCATTTTGACCTCGGCCCCACTCAAACAAGCACTTAGTTATTCTAGTCAGAACTAAACTCAGTTTTCAACAGGTAAGATAATATTTGTTCATGAGCTCCCCATAGAATCCTATTTCGAAGATCTGAACTATTGAAACTACATGTGCTTAATACTAACGACTGAGAGACTGAGTGGACTTTCCTTCACTTGAAAAGAATGGGATTAATAAATTCATATAAGTTTACGTGACCTAATAATGCATGTGCATTAGCAAAAGAGAAACTGACTTCAATAAGAGATTAATTAAGCCAACACCGCTGGGGCAACAACACCACCAGCCTGATCAAGAAAGCTCATCAGAGACTCTACTTCCTCAGGCGGCTGAGACGAGCTGGACTGGGAAGCTCAGTCCTCACCTCCTTCTACAGGTGTGCAGTGGAGAGCATCCTGTGCTCCAGCATCAACGTGTGGCATGGAGGCTGCACAGCTGCAGAAAGAAAAGCTTTGCAGAGAGTGGTGAAGGCTGCACAGAAGTCTGTTGGAGTCAGTCTCCCCACCATCACAAACATCTACACCTCCAGATACAGGAAGAGTGTCACCTGCATCATGAAGGACCCCACTCATCCAGCACACACACTTTTTGCCCCACTCCCCTCAGGCAGGAGGTTGAGGAGCATTAAGTGTAGAACCACTAGACTGAGGAACAGCTTCTACCCTGAGGCTGTTAGACTCACAAATCTCTAACCAGGATAATCACTGTGAAAAAAATCACATCATGTTGCTGCTGATCTGTTTCATGTTGCTGCTGATCTGTTTTATGTTGCTGTGTTCATTCGTACTCATCTGCTCGTACAGACTCATGTTCATGCTGCTGTTCGGCGTGTTGTTTTTATGCTATTAGTGCTTAACGTATTTTTAGTTGATGTTTTTCTTAGTTCATATCTTAGCTCTTATTACAGTTTTTCTTTTACATTTTATTGTTGGATGTAACTGGGACCCTGTGTACATAATTTCGTTCCACCACATGACAAGAAAGAAACTCTGACTCTGACACTGAAGAAGAAGACAGTAAAAAAGGTGACAGGCAAAGTTGGTTCAAAGGAAGAAAAACATTTACCGGTGTGTTAATATACTTGCCGGGTGTTTTGTATAAAGTACAAATCATGAGAAATGTTTAGTTACCGGGTGTAATGTACAGTGTTTGCATTAGGATCAAGTGTTCTGAAATATTTGAGCAAGGATGTGTTATTGAATGATGGAGGTGTGAGGTCATTGTGGAGGCAGTGGTTGAGATGGTTAGTTAACCTATACATGGAGTAGAACGTCACAGACACAAAGGCAAAAAAATTAAAAAAACCAAGTTGAACACTTGCTGTCAACATAAAGACTTTTCAAGTCTAGAAAACTTGCTTTTCAGTGCAGAACAAGACTTGGGTCTTTTCTGTTCAGGCAGGCTGAACGTGAAGTTTGACCTGAGGTTCATAAATGTTTTAGCTGTACACTTTTAAAAACGCAGTGCAGTGGCGTTCATTTCTAAAATCTTTTACCATCTTCAGATTGAATTTGTTTATGATAAGTGGCTGTTTGTTGTTTGGTGGATGAGACGTGTCTGCCTGTCCTGTGTCTTTGTCTTCCTTGTGTTCCTGCTCCTGTGCACACCTGTCCTGAATCCTAATCACTCTAGGTGTTCCCACTACATCTCATTAGCATCTGTATTTAGTCTGTGTGTTTTCACTCCCATGGTATCCAAGCATTAACTATCTACCGTACTTGCCACCGTACACGTTGCACCGCAGTATAAGTTGCATCAGTCCAAAAATGTCTAATAAAGTGGGAAAAAAAACATAAATAAGTCGCTTCGCCGTATAAGTGGCATCTATTATGCGTCGCCGCTGACCACCCGGAAACGTGGGCCGGTGTTTTGCCAGAAATCGATTGGCTGCCAAATGGTGGCCGCGGGAGCGTGCACAGGAGGACTTTAACAAGAATTTAACAAGATTAATACTTAAAAACAATTATTTGTTTGTTTGACATTATAGAAAAGGTGTGTCTCAGTTGAACTTTTCCTTAATAAATGCACTTTAATGGTCAAATCAGCTGAATTTTGCCTGGGTGGCGCGGCAAAATGCAGCTGATTTGACGTTTACTCCAGGAGTTCCGGAGCGAGACGAAGGTGGCTCCTGTGGCAAGCCAAGTGTCTCAGTAATAGCCACTTTTTTTTACTTATTAATGAGACACTTGGATTGCCATATTACTCTAGGGCCCTCTAGTGACTGAAAGTGGTAATGTTCAATATTTTCCATGTCAGAATGAATGAAATTGTCAGATCTCAGCCAGAAATTGGGTTATAAATATGGGGGGGGGGGGGGGTCATATATTAGTCGTTTCGGTGTATAAGTCGCAGGACTTACAAATTTATGTAAAAAGGTGTGACTTATATGGCAAAAAATACGGTATTATAACTGTCCTTCCACCGTGTCCTGGTCTGTGTCTGCCCTAAGTGTCCTCTGTTTGTAAAGTAAGTTTTACTGCACGGTCAGTGTTTTGGTTTTGTTATTATTAAAATAAACTTTAATTATAACTTTTATTCCCGAGTCCTCCTGCCTTCCTGCACATGGGTTCAGCATTAACAAACTTTAGTACGGTTTAATGTAAACCCTGATTTTAAATTCACCTGTGTGTGAGCGGGTGTGAATCTTCAGGTTCTCCAGACGTGAAAAGCTCTTGTTGCAGGTGGGGCAGTGGTGCGGCTTCTCATTTGTGTGAGTGCGGATGTGAATCAGCATTTTGTACCTACAACAAAACAAAATACATAAAAACAAATGAACATCCATAATAAGCGTTCACTCATAAGGTTTTGAACCATTTTCATTTTTATTATAACTTGTGTTCAGATGTTTCCACACTTTCATTGTTTATTGTTTTTCTTTTTACTTTGGCTAATTTTTATTTAAAAAAAATGTTTTACTCATTTTTGGTTTACTGTAGTTCTCCAAGCCAACCATGGCAACATCTTATGTAGAATTTGTTTTTAAAAAGGAGAAAATGCACAAGCTACAAGTGGAGGACACAAAGAAAATTTTGATTCCTTTTATTTTTTAGAGCCAATTCACAACAAACATCAACTCCAGGCACTGTGCAACAATCTACACATATTACCAACAGGTTTTTCTATGCCGATGATACAGTTGTTTATTGTCAAGCGAGAACAGTTGCTAAGGTTTTCCAGCTTTTACAGTCTGCATTCGACATCATCCAGTCAGATTTGTTCCATCTCAAATGGGTGCTAAATGCTGATAAAACCAAAGGGATGTTGTTTTCAAACATATCTGGGTGTCCAAATACTTCTTTAAAAAGTCTTCATCCATCCATTATCGTTTACCCGCTTCTTCCATCCTGTGGCCCTAGCAGTTTCTCCACCTTGGATTTTTCCTCTTTGGCCCCATATGAAAAATCCATTTAGACAAATTGAGGAGTTAAAATGGACCCCTGCCTGAAACTTGACTTCCATGTCAACAATGTGGTTAAGTCCTCTTTTTTTCAGCTGAGGCGCCTGTCAAAAATCAAGCCCCTCCTTTCTAGACACCACTTAGAGACAGTAATCCACGCTTTTATTACCTCACGCCTGGATTATTGTAACTCTCTGTTGATAGGAGTTAGCCAGGCCTCGCTCTCATGGTTACAGCTGGTACAAAATGCTGCTGCAGGATTTTTGACTGGTACAGGCAGGCGTGAGCACATCACTCCAGTTCTGATGTCCCTTCACTGGCTTCCTGTCCAGTTTCGAATTCATTTTAAAGTTCTATTGTTTGTTTTTAAGTCTTTGAACGGTCTTAGTCCATTTTATTTGTCTGAACTGCTTCACTTTTACATACCATCACGTGCTCTTAGATCCTCTGACCAGATGCTTTTAGCAGTCCCGAAAACCTTTTATAAATCCAGAGGAGACAGAGCCTTTTCAGCTCTCGCTCCTAAATTGTGGAATGAGCTGCCACTGGAGGTCAGGCAGGCCCCGTCACTTTCTGTTTTTAAAACTCCTTTAAAAACTATTTATTTCATTGGCTTTTAACCTAGAGTGAGTCAGCATCTGTGTCTTAATGTTGGATTATTTTACTTATGATGTTCTGATTTTTTTTATTTATATATATATATATATATAGGTGTTTTTATTGTTTTACTGTTTTTTGTTTGTTTTTAATTTTGTGCAGCACTTCGGACGGCTGCTTGTTGTATTTTAAGTGCATTAGAAATAAATTGGTATGGTAACTGGTATGGTATTTTGGGTCAAGGTGATCGCCAGTGCCCATATCCAGCAATCACTGTGTGAGGGGCAGGGTACACCCTGGACAGGTCTCCAGTCCATCACAGGGACACACAGAGACAAATGAGACAAACAACCATTCACTCTCTCACTCACACCTAGAAACAATTTAGAGTTACCAATCAGCCTAACATGCATGTTTTTAGTCTGTGGGAGGAAACCGAAGTACCTGGAAAAAACCCACGCATGCACGGAGAGAGCATGCAAACTCCACCCAGAAAGGCCCCTGGACCGGGATTTGAACCAGGGACCTTCTCGCTGAGAGGCAGCAGCTCTACCACTTGCACCACCGTGCTGCCTAAAACATCTTCAGTTAATCCCAAATGCTTCTGCCAGAGTCTTAACTGGAGTTAGTAGGAAAGATCATAGCACTCCAGTTTTAGCTTCTCTCCATTGGCTCCCTATCAAGTCCAGAATATAATTCAAAATCTTACTTCTAACTTACAAATCTCTCAACAACCTAACTCCAACTTATATTCGAGATCTTATTCTTCCATATTTTCCTAACAGAGCACTTCATTCTCAGACTGCAGGCTTACTCGTGGTTCCTAGAGTTTCCAAAAACAGAATGGGAGAAAGATCTTTCAGTTATCAGGCTCCTCTTTTGTGGAACCAACTTCCAGTTTCTGTCCGTTAGGTTGACACATTATCCAGTTTAAGACTGGGATTAAGACTTTCCTTTTTGATAAATCCTATAGTTAGTGTTGGCTTGTTATGCTGTCGTAAGCTTAGACTACTGGAAGACAAATTGACCTCATTTCCTTAAATGAATTGTTAAAAATTGAATAGTTTTCATTTGATACTATTTCTATCCTAACAGGTGATTCTCGATCTGCCATTTGTGAATTGAAATTGAATATGTGGGAGGTGGGGTGAATTCAGTTACCTGGCATTGAAGCCTCTCCCATTCCGAGCACAGCCCTCCCACTGGCAGCAGTACCCGGAGTCTTTTTCAGGTTTGACGTGGAAGTCGTTAATGTGATCAACCAGGTCCTGCAGTGAGTCGAACAGCAGGTGACACTTGAGGGGATAAAGAAGATGGGTTTGAGTGGATAAAATTACACAAATAAAATACACAAATGTAGGAGTTTTCAGTCTAAACCTCGTGATTTTTTATGTTTTGTTTTTACAATTGTGTCATTCGTTAAGGTTGGTCATAGTTGAACTCTAAACATAATGTGTGTGTGTACATACCCTTAAAACATTAAAACCATTTTTAAAATGTGCAATTAGCTTAAAGCTTTAAATAAAGACCTCACAGGTCTGTTTGCTCTGGTTGGGGAAATTTTCACCTACTACCACAATAAGTCTTTGCTCAGTCTCCATAAAACTGACTAAGTCGTAACTATTTATGGGTTTGCTGAGATTGTCACCATGACAAACATCTTGAATTGCTTTCCAGAAGTTATTCTGTTGCAGATGTACATTTCAAGATTACTTTCTGGGTATTTCATCAAATTCCATCCAGTGGTGCAGGAGGTCTTTTACTCACAAAATAATATTTTTTAAAATAGGATCAAGCACAATCTGTTAGCACTCGAAGCACGTGTTCTGGATGACTCTCAAGGATTCAATGTTCTTTATTGTCATTCTCATCACATGTGGTAAATGAGGTGAAAAATCTATGTACACAGGGTCCCAGTTACATACAACAAAAATGCAATACAAAATACAACTACTTTAGTTCTGTCCATCACTAAACCACATCTGTCATCATTACACAACATATGTCCATCATTAAACC